AGCTAGACCAATGAAGGAGAAAGGGAGGAGATTCAAATAACCACCATCAAAATCAATAAGGGCAATATTACCACTGACCCCACAGAAATACACACCACCCTCACAGAATATGATGTACAACTGTAGGCACTTTTTTTTCTTTAATTTTGAGATGAAGTTTTGTGCTTGTTGCTCAGGCTGGGGGACAATGGTGAGATCTCGGCTTAGTGCCACCTCTGCCTCCTGAGTTCAAGCTATTCTCCTGCCTCAGCTTCCTGAGTAGCTGGGATGACATGCATGTGCCACCATGTCTGGTTAATTGTGTATTTTTAGTAGACATGGGGTTTCTCCATGTTGATCCAGCTGGTCTTGAACTCCCAATCTCAGGTGATCAACCCACCTTGACCTCCCAAAGTTCTGGGATTGCAGATGTGAGCCACTGAACCTGAAAAAATTGAGAAATCTAGAAGAAACTGATCAATTCCTGGTCACAACCACCCTCCCTGAGATGCAAGTTTGGTTTAACATATGCAAATTGATCAATGTCATCGTCACATAAACAGAACTAAAGAAAAAAATTACCCACATGATTATCTCAATGGATGCAAAAACAGCTTTTGATAAAATTCAACTTTCATGTGTGTTAAAAACTCTCGATAAACCAGGTATTGAAGGAACATACCTCAAAATAATAAGAGCCACATGTGACAAAACCACAGCCAGCATCATACTGAATGGACAAAAGCTGAAAGCATTCCCCTTAAAAATTGACACAAGATAGAGATGCCCTCTCTCCCCACTCCCATTCAGCATAGCTTTGAGGGTGTTCTTTGCTCTTGGGTTTCTAATTCTTTTAATTGTGATGTTGGGTAGTTAACTTGAGATCTCAATTTTGTTTTTGAGATGGAGTGTTGTTCTCTCAACCAGGCTGGAGTGCAGTGGTGTGATATGGGCTCACTGCAACATTTATCTCCTGGGTTCAAGCAGTTCTCCTGCCTCAGCCTCCTGAGTACCTGGGATTACAGGTATGTGCCACAGCACCAGCTAATTTTTGTATTTTTAGTAGAATGGGGTTTCACCATGTTGGTCAGGCT